GAGAGAGAGAGAGAGAGAGAGAGAGAGAACGGATCCCCTTAACACGGCTCAGACGGCCCATGCAGGCTATCTGAAGGGTCCTCGCAGACATGTAGCGCAGACCCCCCCACCAAAATCGAGGCAGGCAGTGAATATGAAATAGAGCACGAGCTGGCTGAATATATACTCAAGATTCGAATTCAGGTCTGTGTTTCAGCAGTTATGGGTTGCTCACGTAGCTAGGCCCTGTTGGTCTCTGCACGTGACTCTTAGGGCTTGGCTGCACTACTCGCGAAATGTGCAAAATTGGAATGAATCTTCTGCAGAACGTGGAATAATACGCCACCATATGTTTTGTCTCTTGTGCATTTGGTGAGTAGAGGCCCTTAGGGCCACTGCACGTATTCCTAAGAAAAGAAAAACGAGAAAAGAAAAGAAAAGAAAAGCGAGAAAACAGAGAAATAGAGACCCATAACCGACATGCACAGACCTGAATTCGAATCCAGACTATATATTCTCTGCCCACCCTCAGGGAGTACAAGTTTGAAGTGTATCTCTGCATGACGTCGGGTCCTAACTAATATGCCGTAGGGATCCTTCCGAAAAGAGGCCGGACACAACTAGGACATTTTTGATTTTCTACATTTTTAATGCGACGCATCATGCGTGTGTGGCACCCCGCGCATGAGATGCACTGCAAGTATGATTCGAACGTCTGTCTCTCTCTCTCTCTCTCTCTCTCTCTCTCTCTCTCTCTCTCTCTCTAACACACACACATAAAAGGGGCCCGGCAGGTGAGTGCGCTGGGGGGCCTGGCCCCCAACCGGGTGCCCTGCCCGGCCAGGCCGCCCGGGACCTCACCCGGGCCCCTGCTGGTCACCTGGGCGACCCAGATCCCCACACAGGTGTTTTACAAAAAAAATACACTGAATCAAAGGATAAAAATAAAAAACAAAGACACATTGAAATCATTCAGTTTTCTCAATCTTCTTAACGCCGCCTCCACTGTGCCTCTAACGTACAAGGCTTGCCACGCTGATGAAGTTGAAAAGCTGCCCCCATCCCCGTATGCCATAACAGCCCACTTGCACGCTATGGGAAAGAGGCAGACTGAAGGAAGAGGTGTTAAACACAAGGAAGAGAGGAGCAGAAAAGGGAAACCAATAGGCAGAGAGAGAAAAAATAAAAAATGTTGACACAAACATCTTGTTTTTACTGCATTCTTCTTTCCTTTACTGCATTCTTCTTCCTTTCACAGTTTTGCAGTTTTGGTGAAGAGTACCACGTTCGCTTTTCAGCGCACCTGCACTTCTTCATTTTTCATCCTCATTTTCACCCTTCGGACTTTTCTTTTGAGGGTGTTAGGGTGCAGGGTACAAACAAAGTAAAATGACACAAACTTATGTTATTATTTTACTGCATTCTTCACAGTTTTGCAGTTTTAGTGAAGGGTTCCCCACCTTTGCACATTCTTGTACACTCTTTTCAGCGCACCTGCACATTTTTGTCAGGGTGCAAGGTACGTCTAAGTAAGACCCTCACGACAGATAGGACAACTGATGCGGGCGATGGTAGCAGCCCTCCCGCTGATCTACAGGACGAAAACCATTCAGGTAAGCAACTTTGTCACAGCAGGAGCCAGGGCGGCTAGCATTAACCATACCTCTGAAGCATGCACGACAGAGGGCATGCCGGTTGCAGGCCATGACGATTATGGGGCGTTCACCATCACAGTTGAGTGCACATTCGATATAGCGCCCGCAGGCACAGATGGGACATACTGCATCTGGATGTAGATGATGTTCACAATCCGGATACAGGTGGCATCCCTGCCGACAGCGGGCCCGAAAAATTATACGGTTGTACTGATGTCGACAAAGTCGATGCTTTCCACAACCAAGTGTAACCGTGTCAGTGATCTCACGAAGGAGGAGGTCACAAGGTGTTAGTGCAGCATGTGGGGAAATAAAGACTAAAGCAGGCACGGTGACAGACATGGAGGTGGGCACTGAGACACACAGAAACGGGCATGGAGACAGGTGTGGAGGCAGGCACAGAGACAGGTGCAGAGGCAGGGATGGAAGTACACGTGGTACCCATAGAGTCAGTAATCTGGAAGGAGACAGACACAGAAAGAGGCACAGAGACAGGTGCGGAGGCAGGCACACAGATAGGCGTAGAGGCGGGCATGGAAGTACACGAGGTACTGATAGGGTCAATGACCTGGAACAGTTGCAGGTTAGGGTAATTACGCACGAGATCACAGATGGCAGTAATAGTTTGCACCATAGCACCGCCATTCCATAATTCCCAAGAACCAGAGGCACGGACAAGAGCGGTGTGGTGGCCAGGAGCATGTAGAATATAGGCACAAACGTGCGAACAGTGGTCCGGGTCGCCACCCGAAGGGGGACGCTGCATATCAAGCCGGCGCCTTATCAAAGCAGTCTCCAAAACAGAGACATTGAATCCCCATGGTCAATGACCTGGAACAATGGGGTCGGGGGAGGGGGGTCGGGGAATGGAGGTCGGCGAAGGCAAGTCGGGACAGGGAAGTCGGGGCAGGGAAAGGCCGACGGGGGTGGGGGGCAAGCGTACGCGCGGACTCACGGAGCGAAGTATCGGTTAGGGAGGGAGGGGACGAACCACTGTGGGGGAATCCAAGGCCGACGGGGTACCGCCGTAGAAGGTGGGGGCGAACGGAAGGCGGGTGCGGACGATCTCCGTGGGTGGGACGTGGGACACAATGGATGCGTGTCCATGCGTGGCTATGGCGAACGTACGGAGAAGAGGGGCGGGGGAGGAAGAGGCGGTGGGCGGGGCGAAGAGGGAGGAGGGGAAGTCGGGATGAAGAAATGGGATCGGAGAGGGAAGTCGAGATCGGGAGAGAGAGGTGCAGATAGATAGGGGGAAGTGGGGAGAAGGAAGTCGGGATGGAGAGGGAAGTCGCCGGAGGCAGGTCGGGGGAGGGAGGTCAGAGGAGGGAGTCGGGATCGGGGGAGAGACGTGGGGATCGGTGGAGGGAAGC